AGTATCTTCAGATCACAGTAAAATGAAGCACAATAAAATGAAGTGTGCCTGTAGTCTGTCTGTGTGCCCAGAAAGAAGAGAAAAACATGGATATTGGTATGCACTAACAATCTTGTTTTCAAAATGAAGTGAGCTGAGCTTACGTTTGGCAGCCTTATTGGGTTAGTGGGACAAAAGTCAGAGACTAGGGCCATCCAAGGATGGGAACCTTCTTAACTCGCTATCTCCCTGACTTTGGATAAAGTCCTGAGTAGATTTTATCCTGAAATCCTGAAGGACTGCACCTAGGAATTAGCATAAAACAGAAATAAGCCAGCCCTCTCGTGGACTTCAGCCAGATTTTGAGCTGAACTTAAAACTTTAAGCTCTGAACTTGGATTTTTTTCTGTATGTATTTTTTTTTCAAAGATAAAATCCAGCATGTACAAAGATAACTAGGCATATGAGGAGACAAGATGCTATGAATGAGAACAAACAAAAACAACAGACAATAAAATTAGGAACTCCAGATATTGGCATTGAGTCCATATTTTAAACAACTAGGCTTACATATTTAAAGAGTTTTAAAAAAGGCTGGGCTTGGAACTAGGCTTCAGAAGGAATCTAGAGATAATAAAAAGAGACATCTCAACTTTGAAAAAGAGTCAGTGGAAATTCTAGAGCTACAAAGTACAATAACCAAAATTAAGGGCTCAAGGGATGAGTTTAAGAGCGGATTAAACACAGCTAAGGAGAAGCACAGTGGATCAGAAAAGCTATTCAAAATGAATCATGGAAAAGTAATAAAGAAATACACAAGGCTGGGCACGGTGGCTTACACCTGTAATCCCAGCACTTTGGGAGGCCAAGGCAGGTGGATCATGAGGTCAAGACATGGAGACCATCCTGGCCAACATGGTGAAACCCATCTCTACTAAAAATACAAAGCTGGGCATAGTGGCATGTGCCTGTAGTCCCAGCTCCTCAGGAGGCTGAGGGAGGAGACTTGAACCCAGGAGGCAGAGGTTGCAGTGAGCTGAGATTGTGCCATTGCACTCCAGCCTGGGCAGCAAGAGCAAAACTCCATTAAAAAAAAAGTATCAGAAGGAGAAGAGAAAGGGAATGGAGCAGAGGCAATATACACGTGTAGATGTACTTGATATTATCTGACATTTATGGGGAAAATAAATACTGACAACACACTAGTCATCATGCTTCCATGGGGGAAAATTGCTAAAATTAAAACATGCTATAAATGAGAGGATATTGACCTGGGCTGTGTCATGGATTTTGACTAGTTTACTTTAAAGGATAGTCACCCCTCTATATCCATGGGTAATTGGTTCTAAGACCTTCCATAGGTGACATATCTGCAGATCCTGAAGTCCCTGGTATAGAATGGAGTAGTATTTGCATGTAACCCATATATATATACACACACACACACTCAAAGAGAGAGAGAAACAGAGAGAGAGAGAGAGAGAGAGAAAGAGAAAGGGGGACAGGGTCTCTGTTGCCCAGGCTCAAGTGCAGTGATGGCTATTTCAGGTCACTGTAGCCTCAGACTTCCAGGCTTAAACAATCCTCTCACCTCAGCCTTCTGAGTAGCTGTCACCACAGGCACACACCACCACACCTGGCTAATTCTGTGTATCTTTTGTAGAGATTAGGTTTCACTATGTTGCCCAAGCAGGTCTCCAACTCCTGAGCTCAAGTGTTCCACCCGTCTCAGCTTCCCAAAGTGCTGGGATTACAGGTGGGAGCCACTGGCTCTGGCCTCCTCCTGTATTCTTTAATCCTCTCTAGATTATTTGTAATACCTAGTGCAATGTGAATGCTATGTAAATAGTTGTTATAATGTATTGCTTTTTAATTTGTATTGGTTTTTATGTTGTTGTTTTTCTAAATATTTTTGAGCAGCAGTTGGTGGAATCTGTAGATGTGGAACCTATAGAGAGGGAGAGCCAACTGAATTGTTTTTCTTGTTTATCTTTCCTATTTATAATTCTCTTTTTTATTTTTCACTTTTTTTTACCTTTTCTTTTTAGAAATATGCTTACCCATGAATTTATTAAAAACAAAAAGTTGTTATTTTAAATTAGTCTTATTCTTATTGCATCTGATTTTTTGGGGGTGAAAAACTTCCTTCTTTGATTAATGCATTTCATTCTTCTTTCTCATGTTTTTAAAGAAAAAAGTAATTATATCTAGGTCTTCGTGGCCTAAATTGGGAGAGATCTCTTTGGCAACCAATAACCTCTCCTTGTTTTAAATGACTATTTCTTTTATTGTGGTAAAATATTATATGACATAAAATTGACCATTTTAGCTAATTTTAAGTGTACAGGTCAGTGGCATTAAGTACATTCATATTGTTGTACAAAGATCAACACTGTCTACCTCCAGAACTTTTTCCTCATCCTAAACTGTATGAATTAAACAACAATTCCACATTCCCCCAATGACTATTGTCTTGAAAGGAAATAGATAACTATATTAAGCTTTCTTTCCTTTATGTGAATGATCATATAATTGTTTAAGGAATATGGGGTGAAGGAATAGTTGCTAATATAACGGCAAATACAGAACCTACTGACAAAGGTATATAATTTGTAAAATAGCTGAGTGGGCAAAATTCTGATTTTCAGTTGCCCTAGGCACTTCAGCGCACTTCTGATAATGATTTTCCTTGGGCATGTAGTTATTCTGATAGAAATCACATTCATGCATAAAGAGTGAGCTTAATTATACATAACTGCATACCTAATATGAGGTTTTCCTTTTTTTTGTTTTTGTTTTTTTTTTTTTTACATATACTTTCTGGTTTACAAAAGATGAGACACTAAATCCTAACTTAGCTCAAAAAAAGTAGTGTATCCTCAGAGCAGGAGAGTCTTAATGTACGAGTTTTCCTTTTTACAAAAAGACGCTATATTTTTCCCTCTCCTTTCTCCCTTTCAGGGATTGTTTTCACTATTTGGTGATTCCACAGTCTCATCTGGTGCCTGCTGTGACTCCCAAGACAGACAAGTGCACAAAGGCTGATTTAGGGTCATGGATTCCTCTTGAGAATGACATGCTCAATTCATTTGCACTGAGCCCAATCATTTAATCTCAAAATAATAAAAATAAAAGTAGCCAAGATGGTTTGAAGACTAATGTATGCCCCAGGCACTGTGCTAAATGCTTTGCATGTATTATTTTGTTTAATCCTCACAATTCTGCCAGATATGAATCAAATCCCCATTTTACAAATGGGAAAACTAAGGAACAGGAAGATGATGTGACTTGCCAGTGGCACCCAGTTGATAAGTAGCAACTGAGGAGTGAGATCCAGGCCTTCCAGATCCCTCACTCCCAGCTTCTCTATTAACACGTGCTCCTGGTCTGTATTGGGCTCAACAGCAGGGTTCTCTTGGAAGAAAGGCAGGTTTAAACCAACCCCACCCCACTCCCAGGAAAAACCTACAGCACACTAGAAGCCTCCATGGCTGAGGTGAGTGGCTTGTCTCAGCTAAGGCCAGGCAGGGGATCTGGAGGTAGAGGACTCTCCAGCCAGGGAAGGAAAATGGGAAGAGTGGAGGTTGCCTCCTCTTGGCCACCATTTGTTATCTGGTTGGTGAGAAGAGATAGGAGGAAGGAGCACTGTAAGCACATTTCCAAAGGACTCTGGGTCATTCTTGGTGCTCTTTGTCTCTGGTTTTGTGCCCATCGCCTAGGTCCCATAATTGCTGCATCCTTCCTAAAACTCCTCTCTATTGAGGGAACCACTTCTCCAGAACCTAATTTTCTGGATTTACTCGTACCTTCCACTTGCACCTCCCGACACCTCCATGCAAATTCCTGAGCATAACTGATGTCAGCTGGTTGGTAGGACGGTGATAGGCTTAAGTGAATGGACAAAGGTGAGAATGACTCTCCTCCTCCTCACAGTTTCCTAATTCTCCCAGGAACACAGTCATACCAACATTTCTGAAAGAAATTTCATGCAAAGGACTTCCCAAATGAAACAGACATTTCTGGACAGGGAGGAGTATTGATGGATTCTGCCAGAAACAGGATGCTCAGCTACCTGTGTCCTAGAGGTCTGTCAGGGTGACCCAGGTGCTTCCAGAGGGACCTCAGAGCAGTTCCCCGGCCACTCATTCTCTGCCTTCTCCGAATGCCAGCAGGGACAGAAACACTCTCCCAACATTTGCTCATGGTTTGCTGCTCACAGAGTACACCCATCCACAGGCAGCTTAAAATGAGCAGAGGGAACATTTCCTGGGAGTGTTCCTAACCCCAAGAAATATGTTTGCAGATTGTGTTCCTAATGTTCAGGAGTTAAATTCATGTTTCAGAAACAAGTGCTTTACATCTGTAGGTGACACATTTATGAATTATTTTGTGGACCTTGAGCCCTGTACTCTCTGCATATCAAAAGGTAGTGTACTGCCTCCATTTATTCTGGAGGTGTCATCTGCTCCTGCTCGTTTAAGCCTTTGGGTATTTCCTACAGAGGTTAGCAATGTTGCACTTGAATAATTGTACCTTAAATTAAACTAAAAATAATTTCTGATGATTTTCATACTGAATCACATTCTTTATGTCAAAATGATGGCATAATCTTCAGCATGCCATTATCAAATAGCTCCATTGACCAATAGTGGCAGTTTGCAGTTGAGTCACAGGAAGGATTTATTAGGACATGTTTAAAGTGATGTCATAGAAATAAAAATATGGACAGAGACCTAAAGACCACTAGCAGAGGCTGTGGCCAGAGATATTCTTTAACTCCCTACCACACTCTTGTCTTCTCTCTTGCCCCTTTTTTAACATCACTACTGAGGCAACACAGCGTACGTTGTCTGTGTCCTTATCCTACTCTGAAAATGCTGCCCCGTTTGGTCAGGTTACTCAAAGCTACCACCTAGATCACACTATGACAAAAAGAGGGGTTTTCACACTAAACCAACCCAAAGGCAACCAGAATTGGTTTATTTTTTAATTTTCTTTTCTTTATTTCATTTAAATCATAGCCACTTGGAGCCAGTGACTATTTGGAACTATCAAAGAATTTTGATACAATATTTTTACGAAACATTCCACAATTTACTCTGGCAAACAGAACTCAAGGTCGAAGATTCATAACTCTCATCGATAACTTTTATGATCTCAAGGTAAGGTTGTAGTGTATTTTCTTAAAACTAGCCACTTTGCATTGTGGAGCCAGATTGCCTGGGCTGAAATCCTGACTTAATGTATTTTTATCATTTACTTCACCTCTTTGTGCCTCTGCCTCTTCATGTGTGAATTGGGAATGATAATATTATTTACTTCTGAGGGTTGTTGTGAGCACTAAAAAGGCAAATCCATGTAAGGCATTTAAAACATTTGGCATTAGCGGAATGCTGTATAGGCACTATCAGTAGAAGCAGCAGTAATATTATAGTAAAACTCTCATCACCAGACAAACCAAATGATTGCATCATTCTACCAGACAGCTTATGTGCTTCATCTATCACATTCTAAAGCATGTGTGTTGCCTAGACTGAATGCTTAAGAAATATTTGTTGCTTGAATAAATGGTTGTATTGATAGAATAATGAATGAGCAGGCCATGTGTGATGGCTCACATCTATCATCCCAGTACTTTGGGAGACCAAGGGAGGATTGCTTGAGGCCAGGAGTTCGAGACCAGCCTAGACAAATACAAGATCCTAGATCTACACAAAATAAGAAAATTAGCTGTGTGTCGTGGTATGGGTCTGTCATCCTGCCTACTTAGAAGGCTGAGGTAGGAGGATTGCTTAAGCCCAGGAGTTCCAGGTTACAATAGTGAGTCATGATCATGCCACTGCACTTAGCCCTCCAGCCTGGGTGACAGAGTGAGGCTCTATCTCTCAGAAAAAAGAAGAAGAATGAAAGAACAAATGAATGAATGACTAGAGGACCCTTCTGAATACTGAAGCTCTCTCTCTCCCTGTGACCCAGAAACCCCAGTAACTGGCATTGTACCATCCTGTTTGTTTGTTTTTAATCCATATGTTTTAGCGTGAATTGACAAGCCGTTGCCCATTCATCAAAGGAAGCATAGCCTTGTGGTTCAAGAGTGGGCCCGGGGGCCAGGCTGTCTATCCTAAAGACCATCTTAATCTCTCTGTGCTTCAACTGCCTTTGCTAGAAAAAGGAAATAATAATGGTACTTATAAAGTTGTTGTGAGCATTAAACGAGCATGTAAAGCACAAAGAATGTTGTCTGGCTTATAGTAAGCTCTCTATAAAGGTGAGCTATTGATGGAATGTATCCGTAAATATAGATTCATAGCAAAAGTACAATTGGAAATTAGAATTAATTTAAATATTATTTTACCATTAGATACAGTTTTTTTTCTCCCTATTCTTTGCACAGACTTAGGTAGAGCAGTGATTCTAAATTGAAGGAACTTTGTGGGAAGGAGATAAGCAACAGAATCTGCTGGGAAGGAGAGGTGAGAATTTAGTTTATTTGCTCATTCATTCTATAAGCCTTATCATGCCAAGCACTAGAAATTCAATGGCAAGTGAAGCTAGATGGTGTCTGCCTTCATAGAGCTTAGATAGCCTAATATCGGAGAAATGTGGATCAGACCTCCACAGAACTCAGTGTAAAATCACCACTATGGGATGACCTCTTAGAGAAGGAGGCATATGGTGCTGTGAGAGTCTAGCAGGGGAGAGCGCACTCCTGATCAATGGGGTTGGAAATCTTCTGAGGGCTACCTCAAGATGGTGGCAGAACCATCTTGGCTACTTCAAAATCCAGATTCCAGAGCTCACTCATCCCCATCCCAGCAAATGAATATCAGGCATGGGGCCAGGAACCTGCATGTTCTCGTGTTTCCCAGGTGCTTCTTATAAATATACTAAGAGGAGTGAGGGCTGAACTCTATGCACAGAATGAAAAGGGGTAACCAGCATGGGGAGTTTGCAGCAAAGGCCTTGGGATGAGTGTGAAAGGCATCAAGTGTGGCTGTGACACAGAAGCTGAGGGAAGCCCACCTAAGGGAGTGTGATCAAAAGTTGCTGCGCGTCCCCGCGGAATCCACACACTTGTGATCATGTGGAGAGGCAGGTGGCGGAGGATGCAGAGCTAAGGGATGGAGGCCCATCAGCTGTGAGTGGCTGCCTTTCACAGGGCAGGGGCAGAAAGAAGGACAGGGGCCTGGAGGCTGTTGTTTTTGTGGGATTGGGCTTCAAAAACGAAACAGTGGAGGAGCATGAGTAGGATGGCTCTTATAGTGGAGGATTGAGAGACTCGTTATTTTCATATTTCAGCTAGGAATGCCTGAGAGAAAGCTTATGGCCCCCATCCCTCAGTCCCACCCTGCAATCCTGCCACACGCCCACCTTTTCACTTCTTAATTAAAGGAGAAAAGGATTTATCTGGCAATGTGATGGAATACTCAAACTAGCCTCCTAACAGTCCCTCTAAGTAAATCACACATTTAGAGATTACACTCTTTATTGAAGTGTAGTCAAAACCATTTTATTTCAGAAATTGGGAGCATTAAACATGCATTATTCTAGAATGTATTGATGGAGATTGGTGAAATAAGGATATTCCCATGTAAATAATGAAAAAGTGTCTTTGATGATTAAAATAACTTGTAAGAGGAGGTAGAAGGCCATTTGGATATAGAAAATCTAGTCTCAAATGCCAACATACGATTTTTAAGTATTACTGTATTATTATTTAAATATGATTTTTAAACATAGCTATGAATCATGAAGACAAATTCAGGGCTTTTTAAACATTAAGAAGAATATGTTTTGTATTTAAACTAGTGGATATAAAAGATATAAAAACTGTTTCCAATATATGATCATATATGAACACTCACTCAAATACTTAAGCAATCAAGAGATATTTATGTAAAGCTTAGTCCTTTTGAAGAATATCCTAGCAGAATGCTGATATAAATATAGGTCCTGGACATTCACTGGCCTAATTAGAATAGCAATGCACTGAATTAGAGTCTGCTGTGCAGCAAAAGGGTAACTAACCTCTTTACAGTGTCTCTGGGGAGCATCTTAGGTGCACAGACCAGCTCCACACAGCTGGGTATAAATGTCAACATCAGAGTGTAATCATCTTAGCCAGTACATAGGTTTTATAACAAAATACCACAGATTGGGTAATTTATACATAATAGGAATTTATTTCTCACAGTTCTGGAAGGTCTGAGATCAAGGCGCCAGCAGGTTTGGCTGTTTGGTGAGGGCTACTCTCTGCTTCAAGATGATGCCATGTCGCTGCCTCCCCCAGAGGGCACAAGTGCTGTGTTCTCGCATGGTGGAAGGAATGCAGGGCAAAAAGTGGTGAACTCACTCTGTCAAATCCTTTATAAGGGCACCAAATCCCATACATGAGGGCAGAGCCTCATGACTCAGTCATATCCTAGAGGCCACACCTCTTAATCCTGTTACATTGTGGAGTAAGTTTCGGCATGAATTTTAGGTGGGACAAAAACATTCAAACCAGAGCAGTAATGGAAAAAGCATTGGACTAAGAACTGAAAATCTAGGCTGATGTCTTGAGCTGACTCCTCTCTAACCCTGAAGTCTCCCCATAAACCTTTGTGCTCTACTTCAAGGTGATATGAGTTGTGTGTGGAAATATTCTGAAAAATACTATGCAGTTTTAAAACACCACTTTAAAGAGATAAACAATTAGGAAAAAAATATGGACATCCTAAAGCAAAGATCCAAGCTCCTGTATGTGAAAAACAGATTATTTTTGTGTGAGAGATTTTCCTTACCTTCAACTTGTGAAATGTAAAGAGTGACACATTACTCATGTTCTTCTATTTCAGGTGCGTATCATTTGCTCTGCATCAAGCTCCTATATCAAGCTTATTTTTGCATCAACATCATGACAGTGAGTTGGAGCAAAGCAGAATACTGATGGATGATTTGGGGCTGAGCCAGGTAGGCAATATTAACATAATCTCTTTTTATTATAAAACAGCTTAATTGTTTCTGGTTTGATGCATGGCTACATTTTGAAAAAGAAATGTAGTGTATAGTTAACCATAGATTTGCTGCTGCTTCTATAAGCCCATGTAGCAAATGTATCATTCTCAATATCACTAAATATAGAAAGTTATAAACTTACAGTGGAAGGAACCTTGTGGTTATGTAGTCCAATGCTGCCATTTTGCAATGTGATAAAAATGGAGCCCAGGCTCAGCGCAGTGGCTCACACCTGTAATCCCAGCACTTTGGGAGGCTGAGGCAGGTGGATCACGAGGTCAAGAGATTGAGACCATCCTGGCCAACATGGTGAAACCCCATTGCTACTAAAAATACAACAATCAACTGGGCGTGGTGGTGCGTGCCTGTAGTCCTGGCTACTCAGGAGACTGAGGCAGGAGAATTGCTTGAACCTGGAGGGTGGAGGTTGTAGTGAGCCGAGATTGTGCCACTGCACTCCAGCCTGGGTGACAGAGGGAGACTCCATCTCAAAAAAAAAAAGAAAAAAAAAATGAAGCCCAGAGAGGTGGACTAAGGTGCCCACAGCCACACTGCTGAATAATGGCAGGCCAGAGCTAGATGTCAAGCCACTTGCACCTGGTTCTATCCTTGTTCTGCTATACCATGCTGCCCTTTCTGGATTTCTTTCTAAATGATTACTGAATTTGTAGAGTTATTATATAAGACAGTATCTAAGCATGTGGACTGGCTAGTACAGGACCATGGAGTGCCTAGCAAGGCCCTGGGCTTGAAAAGAAATCCATGATTAATCTCCCAACCTCCATTCTGCAAACATTTATGGAGTGCCTGTGGGTGCCAAGTTCTGGGGACACTCTGTAGGGAACAAACAGATGCTAGCCCAGTTCTCCTGGAGTTTGGAGACTGGTGATTCACCTCAGGCCAACCAGAAGTGACTTTCCATTTTCTTCTTCTGTAAGAATGTTACAGGATGTGTTTCTCAGCTATTGACAATTGAAATATTAGTCAAAAGTTTACAACTATCAACACTTACCGTATGAGGGGAGCCCAATTCTTCCAGTTCCGCAGGTAAAAGATCGTCTGGAACAAGGAAGTATTTACTTATCGACCTGAGTAGAAATGAGGCATTTTCAGGAGTCTGGGAGAATTAGGCGAATTTTAAAAGTGAACTTTCCAATATGATGACTTAAACCTATGTTTATCTCCTAGTCTGCTATAACAAAACACCATGAACTGAGTGGCTTATAGACAACAGAAATATATTTCTCACAGTCCTGGAGACTGGGAAGTCTAAGATCAGGGTGCCAGATTTAGCATCTGGTGAAGGCCCACTTCCTACTTCATAAGCCTCTGTCCTTTCTGTATAAACCTCACATGGTGGAAGGGGTAAGGGATCTCTCTGGGGCATCTTCTATAAAGGCATTAATCCCATTCATGAGGGATCTACCAACAAGACCTATTCAGCTCTCAAAGGCTCCACCTCCAATACCATCACCTTATGGGTTAGGATTTCAACATACAAATTTTGGATGGACACAAACATTCAGACCATAGCAGTGTAGAAATAAATAGCTGCTTATAAACTTCTGCGCTGGGATCATTTGAAATGTTGGTTCTCCAAGGGCAATATTTACTTCCAAATATTGTCTTTGACAATTTGAAAGAATACACTTGAGATACATCAACCCAGTTTCTAAAGTCCTTTACATCAGGGCTCCTCAGCCCCTGGACACAGACTGGTACTGGTTTGTGGCCTGTTAGGAACCAGGCCTAACAGCAGGAGCTGAGCAGTGGACAAGCAAGTTGAGGCAGGAAGATCACTTGAACCCAGGAGGCAGAGATTGCAGTGAGCCAAGATAGCACCACTGCACTCCAGCCTGGGTGACAGAGTGAGACCCTGTCTCAGATTCCCCTAGGATCAAGACAAAATAAGCTCATCAAATGGAGCCAATAATATATGAAGAAATCAGGGAAGGTGACCTCAGGATCATGAAGGTTCACAGTGGATCAGTTGAAAAGATGAATTTAAGAATCCAGAATTTCTCTCTGAAAAAGCATACTAGCAAATCCCTAAGAAAAGAGAGAAAAATTCCAAGCCCACTTAATGGTCACCAGTCTGTTTTGGTATCACCGGTGTGGGGTTACCAGCCTCACAGAGACAGGGCTTCCCAATTTGGTCCTAGATGGTGGGATCAATTGCCCCAGCAGCTAAAGACTAAAAGCAGCCCTGGCTTTTAGATCCCAGGCACATTCTCCAGAACCTGGACCCACTGTTCATTCGCATTTGCCCTCCTTTACTCATGAGTTGGTATGGAAAAGGCTCTGCAGAGGCTTGTCCTTAGGGCCTCCCCCTCAGGCACTGGGACCCTGTCTGGAGGCTGGCATCAGCCTCTTTCTAGCTTATCAGAACTACTGCGTTTTTTAAATGTATTTTTATTTTTATTTATTTATTTATTTATTTTATTTATTTATTTTTTTTTTGCCATTACATATTTCTGGTGTATACTTTTGGAGAAAGTTTTCCCTTTTACGTTTTCTTTCTGAAAATTTGGTGTGTTTACTGCCTATTAGTTTAAATTGGTTGACTCTCTAACCTCATTTAAGGGATTGTATATGAAAAAACGTTATAAAAAATGCTTTAATATAACTGGTAAGCCTAAACAATTTTTTTAAACCTATACTTAGGTTCTGTAAATTTTCATTTGTGATGGCTTTAATTTAATTTGTTTGTTTTATAACCAGGATTCAGCAGAAGGACTCTCCATGTTTACTGGAGAAGAGGAAATCTTTGCATTTCAGCGCACGATTTCCCGACTTACAGAAATGCAGACTGAACAGTACTGGAACGAAGGAGACAGAACCAAGAAGTAACTGTCACTTTCACATAAATAAAACTCCAGACAAATGGTTAGGACTTGAAGGAATCATTTTCTCATCATTAATTATGCACTTTGTCTTCTGGACCATTTTAATCTAAAGTTGCTGTCAAAGATCTAGGGGATTAGTAAGTTAAACACTTAACATTTTTTAGGTCTGCTTTTTCTTATTTGGTCTTATTTCTGCACCATGAAATTAAAATCATCATTCCTGAAGACGAATGTAGGACCAGACATTTTAGCTTCATGTTAAATCACCTGAATGAACCTTGAATACACCAGTAAATGCAAGATGTCTAGATGCCTCCAAGCTTTGGCTGCGTGGTGGTGGCACGTTAGAAATACATCTTTTATAACGGGGGGAAATGCCCTGTATTTCAATTCAAAACAAAGACAATTTTCCAATCTGATATAAACTAAAGGGGATAATATTTTAGTATATGGGCTTATATGTGTTATTATTACTATTTTTTGGTTATGAATGATAATAAATCTCCCAGGCCTTCAGATTTCTACATAATGGAAAGAATATGATTTTAACCCTGAGATCAAGCTTAGTAGGCAGGACTTGATCTCAAGTGGGCACAGAGTTTTCTTTAAAAAATTGAGAATTCTAATAGGATCAAATAAGGAGCCAGTGTCAAATTCCACCCAACAGGCAGATCTGCAGGCAGGGCCACCAACTCTGCAGCCAGGAATGGAGACCAGTGAGAGAGTGTGGGCAGGGAGCGGGGGGGTGGGAGTCAGAGTCGTAGGCAGAGGAGACTCCTGCTCACATGAGGCCAGCTGGACCCCAGTGGACAGCAGGCTCCTTCCCGCTGTTCATTGGCATTTGCTCTCCCTGCAGCATGCCCTGCCTTTGCTGCCGACTACCGTGAGATGGACGTAATAGGAAATAGGAAAGAACGCTTGGCAAGCCCGCTTCACAGGAAATCTAAGTTGTCCTTCCCTGAGCTCATTTCTTGCTTTGAGTAAAACCTGAAATTTACTAACTACTGTCAGAAAGTGGATCTTCGGCTATGGATGAGTGTGAAAAAGAAAAGGAAAAAATAGAAAATCACAGAGTCTTGTGAAAATTAAGCATTTGGGGGAAGGTAAGGCATAGGTGAGTCAGTTCAGTGATTACAATGGTCAACATAAGTATGTTCTATGAACCTATTTTTATTTATTTATTTATTTATTTATTTATTTATTATTACTTTTTATGTCTTGGCCACTCCAGCCATCTCCTGGCAGGTTTATTGTGGCATGCCATGGCCCTATTTAATTGCTTAGTCAATAGTCCATCTCAGTAATCAATTTTAGACATTAACTTAATTAAAGCAAGCAGATAGATGGATGAGTACTCAAGCCGAGAGAAGAGTTTAAATCAAGCCTTCTGTAAACTAAACATGGTTTAAAGGTGTTTTTATTGAAGTGAAACACAATAATTCCAAAGAGGTAAAGTAATAGGGAGAGAGGATGGGAAATAACCACTTTGTGCCAGATTTAATGCTGCATATTTACATTAGCTCGGTTAAGAAAATAGTCTTAGAAAGTGAATATTATCATCAAAGATAAGAAAACTGAGGCTTGGAAAAGTTAAGTAGCTTAACCTGAGATTCACAGTTTACAACTACAAAACTCATGTACTGTGTTTTATACCACACTGTCTCTTACTCTTACTATTAATACAAAGAGAGTGATTGTTCCATTTATTTAACTCAGTGAATGAAGTTGAAGATAAATTTACAAATTTACAACAGAACCACTGATTTGAACTCAGTAAACATAAAATGTTTAACTTGATTTTTTTGGACCTTAGCTTTTTACTTTTCACATTCCTTTGATAATTATTCTGTACCTTAATTAAAAAAAAAAAATGATGTGAATGGATAGACAGACAGATGGACAGCATGACCAATAGGCGGAACTGTCCCTGAGTGTGGGTGTATGTAGAAGAGTCCCCCTGTCAAGTTATGTTATAAAAGTTCATTTGAGGTCAGGCATTTGGAATAAAATTTCATTTTTCCATAGAAACAATCATGTAATGTTATCTAGGGTGCTGGTTCCATGCAGAGGAGCCTGCGTAATTCTCAGTGCAGCTTCCCTATAATGTCATTTTGGTATGAAGGAACTTAAACCCTTAGAAAAAAAGACTGAGAAAGCATTCACTCAATTCTGTGGCCCCAACCCACAATCTCCTTCCCCAGCTCCAGGGGCCTGGTGGGATTGGCTGCAGTGGGAGAGGCTCTCTGAGCTGGGAGAAGGGTTTATGCAGAAAACGGGGCTAGAAGCCTTTGGCTGAATCTCTGGAGGGGAGGAAGGAGTTTCATGGTGGCTGGAAATCTACAAAGTTTGTTTCATAAAATAGCATGCAAGAAGAAAAAAAAAAAAAAAGTCTTGAAGAATAGCCATCACCAGGAAACAATATGGTAGCTCCACTGGAAGAAAAGTAATGGCAACATGAAAAACAACCCCTAGATTGGAGAGCAACATTTCAGTTTGTGTGTCTTTCTTCCAAGCCCTGCCCCTATTAACATTCTTAGCATTCCAGTCTTTCTCCCTACAAGTCTCTCAGCAAATGCTCTTTTTTTGAAATGCTTTAAATGTATGCTTTGAGGTGGAGGTTTGAGCTGACTACTGCTGTGGAAAGCTCCCACTCAGCTCGAAACAGACTGGGAATGTCTTTAGACTCAGGAGAAAACACCATGTGCTAAGGGTGCTCTCCAAACTGATCACCAGTTCCCAGACTTAACAGGTCAAGCAGAAAAAAAGGAAAACTTTCCTTAGAAATGAAAAAGAAACATCTGATCACTTCTCTTATATTTCTTTAGGCAGTGTATGAGCTTATTTGCTGATATCACTAATCCTGAGATGAAAAACAGGATGGACTTAAGTAATTTTTAACCTATTTCTGAGGCCAAAAAGACTGTGTAGTATTATTTTAATCAAATTTATGCATTTTCAATGGGACTTCAAATTGTAATCATAAGGCAATACTTCTTAAACCTTCTTAAAGTATATTTCCTGTAGTTACAAGTGTGCAAATAACAATTTTAAAATTAGTTGAAATATTGAAAAAAATTAAAGTTTCACTTGTAAAATAAGTGGATGTGCTCATATCCATTTATTTATTTAAGAAACACATGGTGCTTTCTGTGTCCTGGGCATGGTTCTATGTGCCTTATAAACTAACTCTTTTGAGCCATATAACAGTCTTATGCCATTATAAGGTGCCATTATAATCATTTTATAGACAGGGAAGCTGAGACACAGGAAACATCTAAAACAGAATACTGAATTGCTTAAGATATACAGTGAAGTCAATAAAATTAGCAAAGCATTAATGTATTAAATTTTCCATTTCATTGCCTCTGTCCTGAAAACGGTATTGCTGGTCCATGTAACTTGAACCTACACTTGATGGCCGCTTTATCTGAGATTAAAAACATACAGAAGGATTGGGCGCCTGGGTCCCTGACATTCAGATTCCTGATCAGTTACGGGAATCTATCTTGCAGCAAGTCTGTAAGTGATTTTCTAAATTACCTTTGTTAGATTTACTAATCTCAAAACATGTCACTTGCTTGTAGGAAAGAATTTTCTTTGGAGATGAGTTTCTAACTTCCTATACAGTCAGAATTAAGATTAATGTTCCCTATTAGCATATAGCTGTTCATTTCCTGGTGCAGAAAATTACAAATGGTAAAATCTGTCCTCTTGCTGAGTGTCTACTAACTCAGCCCAGCAACTCACTAGGACCCTCACAACTGTTACCCCAGTCACTCGATCCAGTCCAACATACCTGTCTGCTGGCCTTTCGTCTGTGCTGTGTGGAGTCATCAGTTTGTCTTGCCTGCTTACCTAGCGGGCCTTCCAGAGGTTGTCCTGAGAATTTTCCTATCTCAGGGCTGTACTTTCTGTTTCTGGGCTCCTGGTGGTTTACTGCTGGTCTCTAAGGAGGCAGTGGGAAGGGCTTGAGATCTGTCACTGGAAAATTCAATTCTACTCATTATTGTTTTGTGACCTTGACCAAGATAGTACTCTGAGCCTCAGTTTTATCATCTTATAAATGGAAATCAGTAATGCCCATTTCATAGAATTACTATGAGGATTGTTGGTGAAAAGCACTTTGCAAATGTCAAAGGATTAAACGAACGTTGGTTGTTATTGATACTAATGATTATGATCATAAATCCTACTGTCTGCTTTGTGGTAAATAGCCTTTTGAAGAATGCAAAAACACATTCCAACCCAGTGGTTTCTAACAGAAGGGAGAAGATATGCATTAAATGACTAGACACTAAGAACACATGGGTCTGGCTTAATGAGATGCTGGAGAAGGTTGTTAAATTCAAATGCATGTTTTCAGGATTGTTAAATACAGAAAATGGATTGTTGCTTGTTTGGTGAACATCAAACATTTCGCAGAAAGAGGGCACCATCGTGTGGTCAGTAGGATGAACTGACAGGGAAAAAAGTGGTTCTCAATGCTGCACATCCTAGGCCTAGGTCCACCTCCAGGGTCAGGAAAGGTGAGTCAAATGTGGGCCCCAGCATCCACACTTGTTAATGTTCCTCGTAAGATTCTAAGGTGCAGCAGGGTTGAGCACCACCCATCAGGCAGGCTGTGGAGCTTTTACCTGTGACTACGCAGCCAGTATGCACAGAGAACCCTGCCTGCAGCTGGGTCCTGACTCTGGGCCCCTGATGCAGAGACCATGGCACTTTCCAGGGAGCAGAGGCTGTTGCTATGGTTCCTGGAGCCAGGTCATCAGCACACTGGCACACACAAAGGTACCTCCCAGTGCCCACCCCTCTCCTCCCTGGAGACCTAGGCTCTTCTGCCTTTCTTCTCCACCCACACTAACGATGTCAAAATAGCTAACCATGCAGCACTTCCCAGTTTACAAAGCACTTTAGGAAGCCAAGGTGGGAGGATCATTTGCTCCTACCATATCTGTCATCCACAGCAATTCTGCAAGGGAGATGTGATTATCTTACTACCCATAAGGAAACCAGGTGCTCAGAGGGTAAGTGGTTTCACAAGCAC